TTAAACAAGAAATGGAAAACAACTTCGTAAAAGATTGGAAATTACTGTTGTGAACAACTGTAATTTAAAACGAAGTAGTTTGGTTTGTCAAAATCTATATTGAGTTGTGTCCATTTTAAGGATCCTTATTTATTTTCAGCCTTTTACGCCAGCTTTTTTATAACCGTTTTCGCAGTATTAATAGTGCGTAGGTTGAATATTAATAATTAGTAGAATGGGCCTGCCAGAAGCGAGTGCAGCGAGCTCCCCGCGGAGCCTGCAGACATGATAGAGATGGTCTTGTACGTGAAAAATGTTGTACTTCGAGACAACTTTAATTCAATAATAGGAATCGTTTAGGACGCATCAGGAAAACAGGCAGGATATTGCCAGTGAAACCCAATTTAACTTGAGATGCGGTTTCACGCAAGCCCGTTCGACTAAATCAGTACTGATAGCTATTATTGTGCATTTCACTGCTTTTTTCTTTTTCACTTAGCCTGAGGCTCGATTTATAATAAAAAGAGGTCGTTTTATTAAATCGAGGTCTATAAAACGTACAAATTGATCTAGCTAGACTGGCTGATAAATCGAGCTGCGAATGTCAAATCGACCGCTCGGGATCGATCACCCACCAAATCCACATCGATTTCCTGTCAATCGACCATTTTTGCCGTTTTGATTTAGTAATTCGATCACAGATAAAACAAATCGATGCTTGCCTCTTCCCATCTCATTTTTACGCGTGGTTTTATGCTGCTCGATCAAGCCTTGATATTGTAGCCTTGATTCAAGGCTATAACGGATGGACCAAAGCACAATACATGTTTTATAAAACTGAGTTACAGCACGAATAGCTATCCCAGCTGCTTCTTGATCTCCACATGGCGGATTTAACCAAACAAACAATTCTAAACAATTACACGGATTCAGCTTGAAAGTCGCTCCGGCCTGGTCGCAGCGGGACGGCGTGCGAGGATGAGCGATAAATCCAAAGGGTATAATAGCTCAACTTGTGGACAACTATCTCTTCAAGAGATATCTACATCAATTCAAAACTGAACCAAGATTATTGCCCAAGTTCCCCCTGCAGGATCAAGATCTGAGTCAGCACCGTCCTGTTGTACATGTATTAGGACTGCAAGCCAACGACAAATTGTCGGACAATGTCATTGCCGCATTATGGCCCAGTCTGTGCAAGCATCCGCTTCGAGAAACGCTGCATAGAGATCACCCAGGCTCGTCTTTGATGCACACGTTTAACAGTGGTGAGCCCAGATGGCTACTGTCCATCATTCAAGAGATCCAGTCTCTGTGAATGGTCATTGTGTCTTCACTCCAACATTTCCTTTAAATTGGCCACTATTAATACATTTCTCATTCCTGCACTCCGATGAAAGGCCGCTTTATCGTCAATCCTTTCAAGGAGCTCAACTTGTCTTTGGAGGACAGAGCCCAGCTCGAAGACCTGGCAAATCAATGCATCACAACCAACCTCGACTTCTGCACAAAGTTCAATGCCAAGAAGCGCATCGTGGACACTAATCGATGGAAATTGCTCAAGGAAGGACAAAAACTAAAAGTTTACTCGGAGCGATCGGGAGTGACGACAACTGCGGTTGCTCAGGGCAACGAACCGACAGGATCGGGACTACCTATGCTCCTCTGTGTGGGTACAATGGAGGGCAAACTCGACGACCTCATGTTCGGTGCCATCAGCGAAAACCTCGAGACGATGCGAGTCAAAGCTTCGTATGTCGATGACTTCAGTGGCGCTGCTGTTCTTGACGACGTGGTCGTGCCTACAGAGGAGAAGCCCTTCCAATCACTAGTAATCAAGTGGATGGAGCTGGATATTCCTTTCCGTTCCACCAATTTAGTCAAAAACCGCGACTACGTGTACCTCGAAGGCACAGGTTTCGTTAAGAACGAACAGAACGAACGTATCGGCTATCATCTGCTACACTCGGTGAGCTTTGCGCAGACCCACCAACTCCCTAATCGAGTGCGTGGCAACATGTCCTTTACCGCATTCTGGCGTCAACGCGGCCCCAACACGTTGGAAATGTACGCCACGAGTGTCATGGACCCGGTTGATACCGGTTTGATCCGTTAGCTTGTGGTGCCGAATATGGCCAATGTATTCCTGTCCACACTGAAGTACGCTTACTGCGGACAGATGCGTAAGCTCACGTACATGTTGGACAAGAAATACGCTGAATCGAGGTTGCGAGGAGCTCCAAACATGAAGAGGATTTGTGTCACGTGCTCGTCGCCGGTGAGTGGTCGTCGTCTAGGCGACTTTGGAAAGAGCAACAGCTTCTGTAGATTGTGCTTCGGCTTCGTCTGCACCGCCTGCAAGATCACCAGGAAGTTGAGCTTCGTGGATCCGGATCTTCTGCTCTCCCAACGCAAGGTGACGTTCTGTACTGCGTGTATTAGTGAGGTGACCAGCATGAGCGCTATCGACGTTGCTCGAGCACTGATTGCTACCAGAACCCTCCAACTTACTGAGCGAGCCAGCTTCATGAGAACGTTGTCGTCGGACGACAGCGGCGTGAATTCATCGTGTTCTAGCGGTCATTAGATTTGACTGTGTCCAAGGTAGACACAGAGTTGGTATGTAATAATCCGAGAGGCTGCCATCGAGTTTTGTTGTAGAACGTCGCTCCGTTTTAAAGATCGGCACGTATTAATAAAACCATGCACAAAAATGAGATTGAGAAAAGTACTTAACTTCAAACATGAAGTGAATTTTCAAAGTTTTTTTTTTGTTTTTGAATTCGAAGACCTGCTGAAGTTCTATTTACAAGCTTGTAAATTTGTTTGAAAGTGGCATTCTATCTGTTCATAAACGACCTTTATCAAAGGCGTGCAGCAAGCAAGCTTCAACGTGCACATACTCTGCTTAGGTACTCAGCCGAACGACAGTCTGCGCTGCGACGCAGCACACGTTGCCCCCGCGGAAATTGACATCCGCTCTTGATTTTTGTCACCACGTGTCATGAAACTTTTCTCTTGGTTGGATCTGCGCCGTGCATGTACATGTAGATTTCAGACTTCCTATCGGCGCTCCTCTATGGAGAAGTCCGAGCTGCACTGTACATGCTGGACGGCGCATCGATCTCATTCGAGGTAGCTTGACTGGCTTGTATCTCTTGCTCCTCTTTCCCTCCCTTCAAAGCGTCATCCTAACTATGATATAGCACGGTTGGTTCCATCCAAAACCGACATCAGATAAAGATTAAATCTTTAAATTTATGAGACCGCTCAAACGTAGCGTTTTCAACTGCGCTTGAGCAAAAGTAAGGGGACTTTTCGATTAGCAATTCGAAATATTTAAACAGAGTTGTCCAGAAAACTATCCGTAGCCCGTACTGACAATTTCTCGCGAGATGGACAACCTCATGTTAAGTGCTACTATGGACGCAATGCGCAATGTGCATTGTGTCTAGAGTGCATTGCGTATGAAGGTCTTCCATGTACACGACCGTCGCTTTTGCCCCAATCATTTTGAGAATACACTCGATCATCACTCTTTCACTCTGAGTTACCGCTTTTCTAATGCTTCCAAAAGCTCCAGAGCGTATTCTATCTACTGTACCACGAGTTACATGTATGAGCCTTGTACCACACGGTAAAGCTAGCTTATACTACGTAGTACGATGCAGAGCTGACGCTTCCGACGTCGCACGACGCCCAATCCAATTCTAACTACAAGCTCGGTGTGTGAAAGTCAGCAGATGAGACTGGGCGGCAATAAAGGCTTCACTGTGCGCTTATCCTGTAGAGATTACAGGTGTATGAGTAGTCAAAGACTACATTTTGTGCGAGTTACCGGTATGTAGGAAACACTCGACATACTTCTTCATGCCTTCATTTTTGAAATTTTACAATAAATAAAAGTAAACGAAAACTGTGACAATTATGTAAGAAATCATTATTGAACTTGTACAAAAAGAACCGTTCTGCGGCGGCGCTCTCCGGGCAGTGCGGCAGCAGCTCTCGCTCCTGTACAGCTGCTATCCACCGCCCCAGTGTTCTACCAGACGTCAATCCAACTGTAACTGACGTGGTGGGGACTACTGGGCCGAAACTAGTGGCTAACTACCTGAACGAACGTGAAGCTTCATCATTGCTGGGGTGTGTGGCGAATTTGGCTCAACTTTGAAGATGAACACGAATCGATCTTCTCAATATCCTGCACGTGATCGGCTTAGCAGCTACAGGGCGCTGAGGCTCAACAGTCCTGAGAGTTTACACGCCGCTAGATCCTCAAAAACACCACCTACCCGCTGCGCAGTCTGAGGGCACTTGTGTCGGTGCTCTTTTCGCTGTGCCCCATGGCTCATTCCGACTGGTCGAATGACTGGAAAGTTGATGGCTAAGGCTTTAGATCCAAGCGACTATACCAGGCTGAACCCTTTATCCAGTCAGAACGTGTTTCTACCTCCCGGACAGTGAACTCCAGCATGAACTTTCAGCTGCGTTTCTGGTCAGTTAACACGCTCGTGAAGTATACTGCAGCGAGCGCTTACACACGCACGACGTGAACTGGTGTAATGTGTGCGTACTAACGAAGAGAGAACCGAAGGATTCGATGCTGCACCACCGGCACTTGCAGGCAAATTTGCAGCAATATTATGATTCGATCTTTCTCCTATACGTGCTAAAACGTAGCGAGCCAACGAGTCAGTGAACGATACGTCAGAACAACAAGACGGCGGGAGTGATCCAGTCCTCCGAGCTGATACAACACAGCACAAGGCTCGACACTTGCTCATGGCGCTCGGCTACACGATACTGGGCATGTTGCACGCTGCGATAACGTTAACGGTATTAATGGACGTGCTGTCGATAAACGCAACGATGAATGGAGCAGTAGACGCTGCGAAACGCGACAGAAATATACTCTTCCACTGCAAATATTGTAAGCAAAGTGCTGTTCGCTTTTATCTAAGCTACATTTTCATTTTATCAATGTGTGTTATGTACTTCTTGTTTCAGCTTTACCGGCATCATCAAGCTGCCTCTCCGACACCAACGGCATCTGTCGCTGTGAGTTTCCGTACGTGCATCATGAGTGGATTCTTCATGCCGATCGTGAGTCCACCCGAGCAGGCCACGTCTTGGCCCGGCACTTCGTCCAAGTGGAAGCGACATACTACACAGGCGACTACCATCTTCATCTCCATCATGGCAAGTTTCCGTCCCACACAGACACGCGGGCCGGTGTTGAACGCACTGAACTTACCGGACGATACCTTGAGCATCTCTCCCGTCTGCGAGTCGATGAACCGTTCCGGCACAAAAGATGCCGCATCGGCACCCCAGACACCCGGCATCCGAGCCATAGCATGATATACCAGAGCAATATTCGATCCTTTGGGTACGAACGTACCATCCGGAAAGACCGTGTCGCGTATACAGAGTTTCTGGGCCAAACCCACGGGAGAGAACAGTCGCAACGCCTCGCAGATCGTGGCCTCCAAGTACGTCAAGTTCTGTACTTCTTGCATATCCGGCACGTAGTCGAAATATGTTGCCAGTTTAGGCAATTTATCCAGCAGCTCGGCACGCAGCTTTATCTCCACGCGAGGATTGAGTGTCAGCAGATGGAACAGCCAGGCCATAGCGTCCGCGGCCGTGTCACGCCCGGCGATTAACGCCATGAGCACGACATTACGTACTAAAATGGGGTCAACGGGCTTGCCGTCCACAGTCTCATTCGCCAGAATAAGCGACACAATGTCTTTTCTATGCGCTTTGCCCTCGGATTCATTGGCTCCGTACGTGTCCATCGTCTTGGAGATGACGTCCATGACGAACTGGTCGACCGTCGTGAGCGCGTCACGCAGACGTTTCTCGGTGCCAACGTTCAGCCAGCGCTTGAGCTTCCAGTACCAGGTGGGCACGACCAGTCGCGCCGCGACGATATGTTGCGCATCCACAAATGCGCGTTCGAACGGATGCTCGTGCTGCAGTGTAAGTGTGTTCATGTTAAAGCCGAACGCGATCTCTCCGAACGCGTCCAGTGTGAACCGACCCGAGTACGTGAACATGTCGACGGGGTCTTGTGTCTTGGCTGCATCCGTCAGCACGTGCTGCAGTGCACGCACGTGTTTCTGAATGATAGGAGCCATGTGTTCTCGTAGAGCTCGAGAGCTGAAGAGGTTGACGAAGACGCGGCGATGGAACTTCCACTCTTCGCCTTCGACGATCAAGATGCTGTCGCCTAACAGATCCACGAGCAGGTCGTAGATGTGGTCGCCTTTGAGGAAGTTGTCGTATTGCGTCTTCATTACATGTTCGTAGTGCTCTGGGTTGGCTGTGAGGATCATGTTGCGTTGGAACGGCAAGCGCAGTGTGAACGGCGCGCCGTTGCGTGACAGGAAGACGTCTGTGACCCAGTCCAGGAACCGGGTGGCGTGGTAGGCCATGAAGACGGCGTGTCCCACGACCGGGATCGCGGACGGTAAGAACGGCGCTCGTGTCGGCCCGCGCGCACCGGGAGTGACGGTTTGCTGCTGCTTGGACAACTTCTTGTCTATTGTGTCATTGGGCAGACACTGCGACGCGACCGCGGCACCGACAAAGACGCCGAGCATTAACAGTCCGAACTTCTTGAACGGATCGTCCACTTCGAGAAACCAGGTGAGCATGGTGAAGGTTGGTAGCTTGTTGGCCTCAAGTTGAGTTTGATTGTGAACGTACATGGAGGTGACAACATGTTGTGTCACTCACTGTAGCCACTCACGGTACTCGCGGGAGAATGCGCGACGGTTCCGGCACACAGCGCTGAAGTTGAGGAGGCGAGGAGGAAGCAGTCAGCAGTCAAGGATTTCAACAGATGGGCAACGAGACCAGAGTGGACGCAAGCAGCCTCTCCGCCTCGTGCCATCATTTTGATGACCCTAGGTCAACAATAACGGGCGGGATGGGTGAATCGTAGCCACTTCGGCGCGTACACGTTCGAATCGAAGCGGACGATGGGAGACACCATGGTTGAGGTGGCTTCGTCGGGAAAATAACAAGTGCCGGTCCAACGTTGCCGGCATTGTCGGCATAGCCGCAAGCACGGCGAAGGCCGAGCTTGTGTTCGACGTCTCAACAGACAGAAGAAGCAGCAACTGACGGCGGTATGTGCCGGTCGTGCGGGGTCCTGCGAGCCCTGCGTGCATCGCTGAAGTGACAATACGTACGCGGACAGTGCTTAGCAGGTGCATTCGGAGTTGTATTCCCTCGACACAGATCTGTAGCCCCTACAGATCGTACTCAAACGACCGAGAAGGGTCCTCGTCGTGCAACTGACACTAATAGTGGCCCACTGTCCAGTTCGGAGACCTCGCCTGCGCCATCATGTGCCCGTCGCGCGAGTCGCCCGTGGTGGGCCGTCGAACAGGGACGCGGCTGCTCCGGCAAGCCAGTCATCGATACCGCTTTCGAGCTATACCTCAAGACTGTAGCACGGGCTCGATCACATTGGTACGCGTCTCCAGGTACTCGAGACGAGCGCTGATAACTATCGGTGTGCTCCATACAAATCAATATTGATCTCATAACGGACTTGCAGCTGCTAAGTGTCGCTTTCGAAAGCCTGTTAATTAGCGTAGCAAAGCTAGTACACGAGCTGCCTTGTCCACCACAACACAATACACCCGCCGGCTGCGGCGTCAACGATGCCCAAAGACCGCTTCAACATGAGCCCGTATCACCAGCTGAAGCTCACACTGAAGGACCAACGCATGCTGCTCGAGATCGAGAATGACCTGGTCGAGGACACGTTTCGGAAGTACGAGGAGTTTGTCATGAGCAACTCGCAAGTAAACCCGGCGCGCTGGCGACACATTAAGTCGAGGGACGACCTGCACATCTACGCGAAGCGCTCAAAGAAGCCGGCGGCCAAGGTTATCTGCAACCCACAGTGTTGCCGCCCCGACGTCGAGGAATACGACAGTGCCGGCGTTAAGCCGGTCGTTCTTAGTGTCGGCACTTTCAAAGGGCAACTGGACGATCTCATGTTCGGCACGGTAAACCCGACCGACGACATTATGCACGTCAAGGCCTCGTACGTGCACGACTATAGTGACGGTGCCGTGTTGGCCACGCTGGTCCGACCCACGGCCGAGGATCCGTTCCGGTCGGTGACGGTTAAGTGGCTACAAATCGACTTACCTTTAAGCTCTACTAAGCTTATTAGGGACCGTGACTTTCTCTGTCTCGAGGCGTCGGGCATTCTACACTTCGCTAACGGCGAGCGCGTCGGCTACTTGATGCTGCATTCAATCGAGTCGCCGCTGGTACAGCCGCTGCCGAACGTTATCCGTGCCAAGCACAATATCGCCGGGTTCTTCCGGCAGGTCGCACCTAACGTGATCGACACGTTCGCGTTCGATTCGGTCGAACCGGGCGGTAACCTATTGGAGTCGGTAGTGTTACCGGTATGCGCCAATGCTTTATTGTCGGCTACGAACTATGTCGAGTGTGGCATCATGAAGAAGCTCACGTGGATGCTCCAACGGCGCCAGGCAGCGCTACGTGTGGGCGATTTCGCACCCATACCGCGCAACGATGATCTCTGCGTAACGTGTCGACGCAATCTCCAACCAGGCTGCATGAATGGCCTGGGGAAGGGCAAGTGCAAGATGTGTTTGGGCGGTTTATGCTACGGATGCAAGGAGGTGAAAACCATCAGCTTTCTCTCTCCGGATCGAAAGCTGCTGCGACACAAAATCACGTTTTGTGGCGCATGCGTCACGATGGCCACTCGGATGAATGCGATGGACGCAGCGCGCGACCAGGCTAATGGCTTCCACGCCTACAACGCTACTTAAGGGGATCGAGTAAGGGCACATCGATCATGTTGTTCATTGCGGTTGCATGTATTAAGGTAGTTAATTGTCAAGTACATTCGTCTTCTCTGGTGGAAGCACGATGCTGTGTACCAAAATGAGGTGGAAATTGTCACGGTTATGACCATTTAGTAGTCTAGAATCATCTTTGAAATGGGATATTAAAACTTCGATTAGATAGAGTATACATTTTGGACCTTGCGCGGAGGCTCAAGCTACAGAAGCACAGAGCCGCATACAGCTCATTAGGTGCCTGACCCCATACGCACATTAAAATATTCGAGCATTCGACAGTGGGGCATTCTCGGTATTGCCCTGCAACTTGGCAAAATGTCGCTAAGCCACGTACTTCATTTCAGATGCCATTAAAAATACTGCTCTGCTTAGAACACTGCAGGTTACACGATGACCATATAAGCGCTAAACTTGTATCGTCTGGGGTAGCTTGGACAAGTAGCTCAACTACATGCACAAACGCAAGATACATAGTATTAGAGTCAGGCGAAAAGAAGCATGCGCTTTAAGGGCGATCCAGTGATGCAACGCATTCGCGCATTCAGACATCTCCATGCACAAGAGCTGTAGCTTCAGACTCTCATTTAGTATACTTATAGCAATCTTGAGAAGCCTTCCGGCGGTCTCTTTGGGTGTCTTATAAAATACGGCTCTGATTTTGGTATACAATTAAAAACGGGAACACACTCGCATCGATCAGATGAAGTCGTCTCCTCTCTTAAATCCCAAGGCATTGCCTGTAGGAAAATCGTCACTGCTGAATTTAGTCGGGTCCAATCGATGCGAATCCCCGGCCGATTCAATCGTGTCTCGTTGGCCGGACAGGCTGAGCATGGCCTTGGATAACTTTAGACTACATAATCTACCCATCCGTTATATATCACTTTACCACATTCGCTTACTAAATTTTACGAGCTAAGCCATGTTTCACAATGAGGTGGTTATAGCGCCTACATTGATTCAGTCACAACGTTTCTTAGTAAAACCGTGAATTCATCCCACTCTACTGCTGCATGTAGACAACTCCGGGTAAGGTTTCAGTTTTACACAGACCAGCGAAATGTAACACTGCTTGATTTTTGCTAAAGGAGCTACTATGACCACAGTAGCTAAGCTTTTCATGGACTAAACGATGATATTTAAGAACAGAAGTAAAAACATGCCAGTGGCGTAAAACCCGAGAGCGGCTCCTGGAACAGATGAAGTAGTGTGGTCAAAGCGGATTGCATGTATTATTCCTGTTGTTGCAAATGCGAAAATGTGTAGCCCTTGTGATTGCCAAGATGCTTGAGCTACATCCAAGCAAACCATCAGGGACTTAGCATTTAAACGTTTAAGGATCCAGGGCACCGGTAGGAAGGGTCCACGAATAAACATTGCCTTATACCAGGGCAGCCCGGAGCTCGCCAAGCCATGGCACACGATACAACGGTAGCTCACGATAGCTTGGACGACCGACCAACCTCAACTCCACGCTATAGCACGACAGCATGGACGGTGGATTTACCAATAAAACATCGGAGAGCATGCAGCCACGCGAAATCACTGAGCCACGCAGCACGATACCAGTGTAGAACCTGGAGTCCCCGAGCAACGGAGGACGATACTTCATTAGAACACGATTGCACAGACGGCAGACCAGCCACGAGACTACGATGAGCACTCTAGCGTGAACAGTGGCTCAACCACTAAACCATGGAAAACCAAGCAGCCACAGGAGCTATATACGGGATCTTATCATCAGCACACGACACGCCATGGACGCTTATCCCTGGTCGATGTAGAAACAATTATTGCTACCTTCACCGTTGACGTTGGGGGTACGAGCGGCATATCGATTGGATACGGACCAGATCGGTGGGTTGACATAATGGCATGTTTAATAGGCTTCGAAACCGACTTCAAACCCATGTCGGTGAAGATACTGCCCTCACAATAACATCCCATGACGGTCGAAACTTTTCAAGTCGGTGTATGCCAGTTGAAATAACCTGTGCTTGAATAGAGAACATTCACTGCTCCCTAATCCACCCCTAAATGTTGGAGAAGAAGCCAATTAGAACCACGTCTGCGATTACTTTGGAGGCTTGCCGTCGACGCCGCTAAAGCGAGGGCAGGCGGATGAAGGCGCTCGATTGCTCGCTGGAGATGCTGTGCGGAGCTGCCAGTAGACAAAAAATTGCGACAATGCCACAAAACACGGACAAGCAAATTGTTTTGTAAGTAAAATGATTCCGTTAATAAGCCCAAAAGAAGTACGAGGGGGCCCGATGAAAGCTCAAACCTAGGACAAACACAACACAATAACATGAGCATTGGTGCGCGAAACAATTAGCCAAAGTTCGTAATTAAAGTGGATCGAAATAACTTTCTACAATAGAGCTTATCACGGTTAGAAGATAGGTTTCAGCAACTAGTCAGATCAAACCTACCTGACCCGTCCTTCTCAGCTCGTACCTCCCTTCAAAACCAGGAAGGTTTGGCTGCGAGGTGAAGATCTTGCATGATTGGTGAAAGTCCCTGTGGAAGATATAATTTGACTGACCGCCAGCAAAAGCCCCGCCATTTTCAAAATCACACGAGCATACACACAGTAGCTCGGCGGTGACTGGACTCGTCGGGGCGGCACTGACGAAAATAGAACGGAAGCAAGCCCCTACGCAGTGCGATGGATGTAAAAACAGTCACTACCCACAGCCACGCTTCTGGCATGTCGTCGGCGTACATTGGCCTCTTGGAGCTCTAGCGTGGAAGAAAGAGGCTTTTAGAGTGAATCCTTCAATGCCATTGGCATACTCACCAATTAGAGTACTGAATCTATTCGTTAAAGCGATAAAATTTGATTTGATTGAAATTCAAACGTGATAGCTCCTAATGGCATTGTTATAAGATCAACCATCTCGTAATTTTTTCCCCAATTATTTTTTAATACCAAAGTACTTCAAGAAGTAAAAGGCAAATGAAATAGGATTTTTGCAAACTAAATATCTTATAGCCCTTACAAATGCGAACCTACTAAAAAAAAGCATAAACCAAAAGCTGAACTTCTTTCAAACTGTGTCATATCAGTATTAAAACTCATTTTGAAATTGTCTGTACAGTAGACATGTTTTATTTTGTATTATTAAATATCTTGAACAAGCATTAAATAGGTATTATCTAATACAACTTGATATGTTTGAGCCACAGCGTACCGTCAAATCCTTGCTCGACGTCAAAGAAGTGGCGTGATGCTGCCGGCGGCAGCCTGCCGCTAACTTTGGAAGCATTCGGTGCTCTACCGGCTGTAAGACAGCCCTGACAATCAGCTGCTCCACTCGTTGATCCATGCTCCTCACAGTAGAGGGCGCCCTCCTCGTCTAACACCAGCTCTCATCTTCTTCCAAAAGCTGCATGACGATCCAAATCACTTCTGTTCAAGGATACTTCAACTTCCAAAAAAACTACAATCGTTTCAAATATCTTTAGAAATGATCCTCTCAAAATCCTAAATTCTTAAAACTTGTCTGCATTGCATAGTTGAATCTCATCAGCCCCACACCATGGTACCACCCGACTGCATTGCCGCGATGGCGCAGGTACCGGTACAGTAATTGTTAGTGTAAAGTTTCGAGTCCCATCTGGCCCAATGTGATGGGGGTAGACGCAACAGGTACGTGCTCGTTGCTCATGCACGTCGTCGCGAAGACGCCCTGTCACGCACAATTCGCAGACATCAGTGGGGGTAGTACCCCTTTCGCTACATGTACAAGCGGTACCTGACATCGCTGGTCTTTTCGGAGCTGAAACAGCGTCGCTCGTCACAACCGAATTCGCGTCCAGACAAACATGGGCAAGACCAGCTTCACCTCTAATCCCTATCCAAAGCTCGACCTCACGGAAGCTGACCGTGAGATGCTGCTGCAACTCGAAAAGGATCTGATCAACGAAGTGTTTCCGAGATACGAAGAGTTCGTCGTTGTCGATAAACGGAAAGTCAAACGTGCTCAATGGAAAGCCATCGGTGACGACAAGAACCTCCATGTATACGTCGAGCGAGACGGCTGGAGCGGTACTTCCCAAGACGAGGACGTTCCCGTTCAAGACAGCACCGACAGCTGGCAGAAAAATATGCCGATCATCCTCGCGGTGGGCACTTTTGAGGGAGAATTAAACGACCTCATGTTCGGTACTGTGAACCCAACACAAGAGATCATGCGAGTCAAGGCCTCGTATGTCAAAGACTACAGTGATGGCGCAGTGTTAGCCAATATTGTTGTACCCACCCTCGACGACCCTTTCCGTTCCGTATCCATCAAATGGACACAGATCAATCTACCACTGAACCAGACTGGATTGATCCAAAACCGCGACTTTGTCTGTCTAGAAGCCACCGGTATTCTACATTTCGCTAATGGAGACCGCGTCGGTTACCAGCTTCTTCATTCCATCGACTTCCCAAGTACCCCACCACTTTCCGGAACAATCCGAGCTCGCCACAAGATCATTGGATTCTATCGACAAGTTAGCCACAATGTCATCGATACGTACGCCTTCGACACGGTACATCCAGGTGGGAAAGTGTTCCGATCGGTGGCTCTGAAAGCCTCAGCTGAAGCTCTACTATCCACGACAAACTACGTCATCTGTGGCCAAGCTAAGAAGCTCACATGGAGGCTACAACACCGTCACGCCGAGACACGGTCGTTCCGTCATCGAAGTAGCACACGCAGCGTTCTCGGTGACAATTCGTGTACAGCTTGTGCACGAAATTTGGGTCCAAGAAGCTTCGGTTTCCCTAGAGTCACGGCTTTGGGAAAGAGTGTTTGTAAACTCTGTCTGAACCCCGTGTGTCTCAAGTGTAAACGTCCGAAAGGGATCAGCTTCCTGACTCCGGATGGGAAGCTTCTACGTCACAAAATCACATTCTGTGTCATGTGTATGAGCGAAGTCACGCAGATGGATGCGTTGCCAGCAGCACGTGATCAAGCAGAGGGATACCAAGCCTACAACGTCATGGCTTCACTTTCCGGATCCGACATTCTTTCGGATGATCTGGATGTCTAATGCTCGGAGCAGTTTGTATTGTCAAATTTGTAGTCATGAACAGCAGGATAAGTGTTCCAATATCCACGCGTGCATCTCGTTAAAGTGATTGTCATGCGTGTCAAGTGCAGCAGATTCTGTGTAGTCCACATAACAACGGAAATGTAGGAAGAGCACCGTCTCAAATTGAATATGTGCGGCAGCAGAAATCACATGCATCGTTAATCGTGGTAGGCGTCAAGCCTCTGCTCATATTTGAGGTCTCCATTACTTGCACCGTGCATGGCTCCTTCCATGCAACTTCGGCTCGGTTAACACCTATGGAAGTAGCCATGTGCTGCTGCTTCATCCGAGACGTTTTGGGTACATCTTTCAGATCGATTCGAAGGTAGCCATTTAATCACGCCGAGCTGTCCTGCCATGGGTGCGTTGTTCATAGCTCTCGTTATACACCTCGATACGCAACCAATGCTGCGTTATTTATCGATTCTTGTGTGCAACATTCTGTTCTATACTGAATGTAGCCAATTCACCGGATAATAAAGCTGCGAAAGTACAGTCTTCGGTTTTCGTCAATATCATCCATGTATCCATTATTCGCAGCTATATCCATTTACCTCGTTGCTCCAATACTCGATGGTCATTCTCAATGAGAGAATGTAAAATATCCGTTGCACCAGCGCACGCTCTGGCCACCACCTTGGAAGAGACTGAAAACCCTTGAAACTTAATCGAGACCCATACGAAGGACAGCGTCATCTAGACCCTTTAAAAACAAATAATGTCCATAAGTCTTTCTCTGTACGCAGAAACCTGAGTGTCCATCGGTGGTCGAGATCGTGTACCGCGTTTTCGCTGCTGGTATGTCTCATGGAGCATAATTTAACGACGTAAAGTAGCGACAAGCTCAATGAAGAGTAGAGGAAGTCGGAGACACAATGCACGACCTACCGGAGGCCTTGAAACGCCGGCTTGGGACGGTTGACGAAGGCAGTACGGCGGAACTCGGGCAATCTTCGGTTGGCATCCTCTGTAAATTTTGCTGATAATTATGTAAGATCTTCACTGCGATAAAGGGTTTAAGAAATATAAATAACTAATGAAGTTGCATTGTGTACCATTTTTTTACTTCGGTATTGTAGCCATTTCTTTGACCTAACCAAGCGTGCATCGGAGTGGTCACTCTTGAGCGTCTCGATTGCAGCTTCATCTGTGCAGACTGGAAGTGTAAGAAACAGCGCCATCTCGAACTCGTTATTTTTATGCAGCATAACCAGAGCGGAATACGAACAGTTTTCGTCGCGGTTGGCATACAGCCACTGGCTTTAGCGTATCCATTATATGGATACGTTGTGTAGTGTTCACTACACAGCGACCCTCGCAATCTCTCGAAGATACTTGGCAACTTCTAAGTGCCCGTGAAAAGCGGCTGCGTGGATCGCTAGCATCGCCACCGCGACCACAACTCGTTCGCTTGTCGTATGCTTCTGCTGGGTCAATTCGACAACCCAACGCACAATTACTAAGTAGCCATTCTGCGCAGCGATCGGTACAAATATTATATATTTGTTCTAATACTCGACTGTCATTCTCATTGAAAAGCTGCAAAATGTACATCGCGCCAGCTTTGCAGGGTCCGGCCACCACCTCGGACGAGAATGAGAGCCTTTGAAACTTGGTAATCATCCACTTGATCGTTGCCAAGTATTTACGTTGGACGGCGTCCTCTAGACCCCTTTGAAAATAAATACTATCCGTAGTGTTTGTCTGTGCGCAGATACTTCCTGATTGTCCATCAGTAGTCGGGGTCCTGTTCCACGTTTTCGCAACTGGTCCAAATACGCTCCAGAAGCCTCACGGACCGAGTTTTGACGGCATAAAGCAGTGAAATGGCCACTGAATCGTCTAAGAAGACGGAGACGTGGTGCACGATATGCGGGAGGGCTTGGAACGCCGACTTGGCCCGAAAGTCGTACTGGTGGGGCACACCGTAGGTAGGCGACAGCGGTCAACGGAGGCAAATTCAAGTAAATTATGTGCGGTGGACCACAAATTGCAAATAGTGCGTTAACCAATCTACTGAATTAATAATGCAATCGGCTTGAAAATAAAATAAAGACGATATGCAATTATGAATTGATATTGAGCTCATGCACCGTTACACTCCTGGACACAATGATACGACCACCTCGTCGAGTGCCCATAACTCAGTCAATTTTTATTATTTGACGGTGTGGTTTTCACACAATTTGTAAAACATGCTTCGAAATAGCAAGGATGTGCTAATTCTCGCGTTTTTACACTTTAAAGGAAGGCTCACATAGAAAAAGAGATTTGTTAAGGTGGTCACAATCTACGGCCACTATCGGCCCATGACATAAACCTATACTTCCACTGGTTGGAAATGATCACGCGAAAACATTTTGATCAATTGTTTCAGCTCAATTTATACAATACAGCATCTGATTGGACACCCGAAAACCCCGCATCTCATCTTTTTAAATCCACCAGTTTTGCGCCGAACGGACTTCTGTAGCATCTGCCGTTTGAGTTTTAGCTCTCAAGGTCTCAAGCCTCGCCTGGAGTGCGACCCGTCACGCCTGCGCTAAGCTGCAACTTCCTCTACAAGCATGCCGAAGTCCAACCTTACCAACAACGAGTGCAAAGCCGTCATTGACGAGCTTCTAAAGATCACCAACAGCGGAGAACTACCCAGTGGAGCGTTTGCTAAGATTGGTGCTCTTATGAGTCGACATCCAGACACCGTGAGGTTGATGTGGAAGCGATACAGCTCTGCAGTGACGGCTGGTGTCGTGGGGGGGGGCTTAGCCGGATTAGTAAGATTAGCGGCAGAAAGCAGAAGAATCGAGACGAAGTACGTGACAAACTGAAGAGAGTTCCTATCGAGAATAGAGGAGTTGAAAGACGTGTGGCGGCGGTCTCTGGTCTCGCTTGGCATATGATAAGACAGGCAGTGAAAGAAAGGATGGTGATGCGGCGAGCTACGTTTATGAAGCTGGTACTAGCGAGTGATAACAAGATACGGCGGGTATAGCAAGCGTTGTCGTTTATCGACGAATAAACCTTGCAGCTCGAGCTATGCACAATCTAGTGCATATAGATGAGAAGTGGTTTTACGCAGACCGCACCAGACGATCACACTTCGTTTTCGACCGCGAAGAACTACCTGCACGTGCCTGGAAGAGCAAGCGATTTATTCCAAATACGATGTTTTTAGCTGCACTTGCACGGCCAAGGCAAGCCTCTATATAATTTATTTTTGGAAATGACAAACTTTAATTTTAGGTACGATCCTCACCGAAAGCAGCGTTGGGATGGCAAAGTTGGGATATGGTCTTTCACGGAACAGTACAAGTCTAACCGGCGAGGCAAAAACAGAGACAAAGGAACTATTTGTACTCGTAATTTCAATACGGTCTGCCGGGAAGTATACAAAGATTATCTTCTGACGAAAATATTCCCAGCGATCAAAGCGGCGAAGGAGCGATCGTCGTAAAATCATATTCGTACAACAAGACAATGCAAAACCGCACGTAGCGCCAACGGACCCGGATGTTATGAAGGCCGGAACTGAAGGAGAATGGAACATCAAGCTACTGTGTCATCCCCCCAACTCGCCCAATATCAGCTGTTTGGACCTGGGTCTGTTCGCTTCCATGCAAATTATTCAGTATCGAATACCAAGAAAGGGTATCAACGCTCTCTTAGCGTCGGTGATGGACGCTTTTCGGTGATAATATTGGTGAGGTTTGTAAGACTTCCGACTTGCTACATCACTGAAGCACGAATGCAAGACTAATATTGAAGCATGAATAATTACAGTGAAGGGTGCGCCGCACCTACCTATCGCGTTGAGCTCGTCCAGCAGAGAACTTGTGGCGCCCTACTGTGTAGTGCATGCGGCCCACTGCTAATCTGTAAATACAGTCAATGGCTGAGAAGTGAAGATGTGTCTCACTTCAGAATTTCGCACCTGCAGCGCAGGCAACCAATCACACCACTTCAAGTTCCTGTTGTGGCTATTACAACCACAGCAAGCTTGTGTGTGTTGCGTCTTACTTCCTTAAATACAAACACGAAGTATGTACAGCCTCAGCTACGGAAGCACTCCCGATCGTTTGAACAGGATACGGTCGTAGAGACCACAACTTATATTCCGTGCCCGTTTACACATATCCCAGTCAGCGAGTTGCAGCTTACCGCAAAGAGAAGTTCCCCTGACCAGTATAGGGAGGTCCAGTTCTTGTTCCGGAATCGAGATCACTTTGGACAGCACCCACTACTAGATCGTGTACACCCAGCGTGCGTACATTGAGTGTAACGACGCACCAACGTCACAGCCAGCGATGGCCATGACGTTGGTACCAATGCGTCCTACTTTCTTCAATTATCTTCCTACTTGTCTATGTTGACTGCCAACTGTCTTCTTAAGCTGCCAATGAGCGGCCAGGCAGAGACACGCCTGACCGGAAGGCAATCACAATGTTTGGACGAGTATTGCCAAACATGGAACTTCAATGACAGTCATTCTTTTTCATTTGAATTCACTATGGAGATTCTGACCCGGTTCAAATGAACCGCGGTTCACTACTACGCTACGCTACTTCAAGATTCGACTCAAGGACTACTTAGAATCTGGGTTAGTGAAATACATATACTTACATAGGGTACCAAGGAAATGCAAACAAGCACTTCCTCGTGGCCGACAAACAACTAACCATTTCAATCTCACTTTCCAATTTACCTTCTTCGAGGCACGTCAGTAGCCTCCTACGTCTTACCTTCGAGTCCCCATCGCTGGACTCTCGCCGCTCTCCTCCGCTTCGCTCCTCGCCACGCGACTCTTCCCGTCATCGAAGTCCCTCTGCGCCGTGCTCTCAGCAGTCGTCACATTGAGGGCAGTACACAAAGCGCCTCACACGGAGAACGCTCACGGATGTTGTACTCCCCAAGCGGCCAGCGAGTCAAGATCTGTTGAGATGCAACTCATTAGGACGTCTATCAGCCATACCACGCGCTTGTTGGTGCGCTGCAGTACCTCTCGCCCCGACATTGGTCATGCGGTACGATACCTGAGCAAGTACCTGGCAGACTTAACCTTCGATATTTTTACAGAGTCCAAACGGGTGCTACGCTACCTGTTACAAACCCACCAAGGACATTGCACTTCATATGGTGGTGATTCCTGGTGATGACGTCTGTGCTACAGTTCTTACGGGCTCGGACAATGCTAACGCTCGAGATGACACCAAGTCTGTATCGGGCTACGTAATGTACCTTGACGGCAATGTGATCTCGTATGGTCCGAGGGAGCAGGAGACAAATGCACTGTATTAAGGCATTGCGATAACGAGAGCGTTCGTGGCATGCTGTGAATGGTTACATGGCAGCCGCATCCCATGCACATGCCAATCAGTTGAGTTGGGGTACGTGCATTCCCTCGGGCTCAAGAGGGATGACTAAGAGACTGCGTGGCTGATCAACGGTACTTAAAGCTCAAGCTTGTCACTCATGACGCGGTGTGCCGCTTGCGCTACCAGCCCTCGATGCGTCTGGTAGCAGCCGTGACGGCGCGAAATAATGTGATGGAGCAGCTGCACAACCGCTTGGTCCATGCAAGTACGAATTTAACACGAAATTCATTACGAAGGTCTTCTCCTCGTATGAATTTGTTCTATGTAAATCAGGTAAGCTCAAACATACATCTTACAAGCGTGGAGCTTTGCTCAATCCGCCATGGCATATGGGGACAAACAGTTCATGCTGGTAGTGGATGAGGCAACGCGATATAATTGGTGCTATGTATTGTCGAGAACCGGCTAAGCTGCGGTGCTGTTAATGAGCTTAAGTTGACGACTCTTATGTAAATCTAAACCTGAGGCTTTAATGTGGAGAAGTTCTACTCAAACTAAGCGATGGATTCAAAGGTGCTGATCGCCAGTCGTTTTGCGAGCGACGCGGCATTGCTCAGATTTTTGCTACTGCTTACTCCCCGGAGGAGATAGAATAATTGAGCGCGCAAATGGTATGGTATTGCCACAGCTATGAGCACTACTTCATGCAACAAACCAGAAAATTTTACTGCGGGGAAAAAATCTCCTTTACGCGGTCGACACTTTCAATCTCCTGCCTACTCGACCACTGCTGTGCAAGTCCCCGCATGAACCACTGCTCGGAAATCCTCCGGGGCTGGAATCTGCGAATATGTGGGCGCATTGTACATGCACAGGTGTCTCCAGAAACCGACATACCGGGGTCAAAGCTTGTTCCACGTGCTGAGCTGAGTCTGATACTTGGGGAAGTGTAGATGCACGAACGTATACAAGCTGATGGATTTACTCTCCAGGTATTCGCTACGAGACGAAGTGGAAACGTATACTACCACGAGAAGTTGACATTGGTTCAAACCTACATGCGACAGCTACTCCTGAATACTTACCAGCATGGTAGTTATGAACTTCTAGTCGCGATTTTCGGTGGTTCTGATTTCTTCCTCGTTTTTAGCCCCGGTCATTCCTCCGAGCCGGCAAAACTTTACGATTGCCAGCGGAACCCGAACTTCGAATGCCCCATCCATAAACTTAACTGGTGGTAGACAATAAGCAAGTGGGAGTACACGCTGATGCACAGCTAGCGGCCAAAGCATCGGACGAAGAGAAGGGAAGTACTGTCCGGCAGAAATCGGTAAAGCATGCCAAGCGTAGGCGTGGCAGACAGCGTGGTGAATCTACGTCGGATAAAGTTTGCGATTCATCGCGGACGGTGTTCGCATCAGGTGACGTGGTGCAGTGACTAAGCGTAACAGGCGAGTATCTGCTCACCTTATCGAATACGTGGTGGGGTCTGTCATGGCGGGAGACATCAAGATTCCCAGCGCACACAAACAAGCTAAAGGAAGCATTCAGTGTCTGGAATGGCAAGCAACCTTGAAGGAACAGGTTGAGTTACTGCGTGAGCACGGTGAATCTACGTCGGATAAAGTTTGCGATTCATCGCGGACGGTGTTCGCATCAGGTGACGTGGTGCAGTGACTAAGCGTAACAGGCGAGTATCTGCTCACCTTATCGAATACGTGGTGGGGTCTGTCATGGCGGGAGACATCAAGATTCCCAGCGCACACAAACAAGCTAAAGGAAGCATTCAGTGTCTGGAATGGCAAGCAACCTTAAAAGGAACAGGTTAAGTTACTGCGTGAGCACGGTGAATCTACGTCGGATAAAGTTTGCGATTCATCGCGGACGGTGTTCGCATCAGGTGACGTGGTGCAGTGACTAAGCGTAACAGGCGAGATTCTGCTCACCTTATCGAATACGTGGTGGGGTCTGTCATGGCGGGAGACATCAAGATTCCCAGCGCACACAAACAAGCTAAAGAAAGCATTCAGTGTCTGATATGGCAAGCAACCTTGAAGGAACAGGTTGAGTTACTGCGTGAGCACGGCACGTGAGAACTAGTGGCACGATCAAAACTAACGCACCAGACAGTGATGGAAAAGCGAGCGATACACGCTATCGAACGTGATGCTCAAGACTGATCAAACGCTTAAAGCTCGACTTGTGATCAACGGCTTTAACCAGCCGCTTAGGGCCGATTGACTGGGCACCCACACAAATGGGACCTGCTTCGAGACGATAAGGACAGTGTTTGTTATGCTTTTAAGCGGAGCTGACCTGTGTTGCAGTACGATGTTAAGGCAACATTCTTGTATGGATAGCTCGAGGATCTCGTCTTTACAGAGATTCCATCGGGATCAGGCGAAGACGACCCAGGTGGTGCATTGGTTTACCAGTTCATCAGGGCTATTTACGGCTTGAAGCCGTGTGAAACAAGACGCTGCACGACTTTCTGCAAAAGGTTGGGCCCCCGCGCCTCGACAGTGACTACGGCTGGTACACCATATATGAGGATGACGCGGTGGTTACACTCCTGACTATTTGCGTCGATGTGCTATTAATGATGAGGACATCACATCTGCCCGTAGCGACATCAAATACACGCATTGCTACACTTTCTGTAGCCCCCAAAGCTTTACTTCTCCCTAAAGCCATCTTCAATTCTTCACTCACGTCATGGTCTACGTATCGAAAATTGAGAGATTAGCCCGTTCAGCTTCATAAGGTTAGTCGAGCCTACACGGCCATGGCCATATTCATATGGCGATCATCATTAATATTTGCCTCCTTGCTCTGATCAGAGCCAACAGGAGTCGTTGGAGAGCATTGTATTTTTTTATTTTCAGGACTAGCTGGTGCAACAGCAGAGTACACGGGTGAGCCAGGGGTGATGCGGCTACGAAGCTGCACAGCGGCCGTTGATCCTGGTACGTCTCGCATCAGCTCATAAATAAACTTTAGCGGAGGCTCTTGCTGAACAGAGCGCACTTTCTGGGCTCACGCGTATACCCAGCAGTCACAGATTGCATACCACGGTCGACACTCGTGGTAGCCGCCGTTGCTCGCCAGCCCAACGCTCACGATGGCTCTGCTTACTACCGTATTCACCGTAGAACTTACACTTGGACGTCGTCTTCTTTCCGCAATTGTCTTCTTTCAATGCTCAGAAGTTATTGACTGGTGAGAAGCCGTGGTCATCAGTAAGCTGGTTCTGATTGAGGGCGACTACATAAAACCGAGAGCGAATGACCTCAATGTTGACTGCAGGGCTACAGCTGTAGTGGTCGTACAGCGTGCTTCATATCTTGCATAGATCGGCTTCATCAAGTAGCACAACTTAGCGCTCAATGATCCCGTCGGAGAGACTGGATATGATATTGCTTTTAGCTTTGGCTTCACGCGTACGCCAGCAGTACTTCTGCTTCGCGGTGACCCAAAAATCAAAGGGCTACGGCACTACCACTAATCTAGCCATATTGTAGAAATATCGGCCTTTTGTGCAACCTGGCTTGCAACCCTATTTTGATTGGTTAATACTAGTGCTGATGATTGTGTTGAAGTGCACAAAGCGGTAACTACACACGCAGAGCAGGATGGCCGCCATTCTTACGATCCGCACGGAGGGCCACCAAGATACTTGACACTGAGAGCTGCCTACCATAGACTGAATATACCTTGTCTATCGCTGCGTCACTGGTAAAACCTGACCGCACCAAGCTAGCGACTACGTCCCAGAACACGTTTCGCCTAGAGAAGGCGAATTTGCTCGCACCACGCTCGATTGCCGTAAAGTCTTTTGCTGCTTTCAGGTCACCGCATCCGACCTGGTATTCGTGCCAAAGTTCGAATAAATATTTCGGCCGCTTTGAAAGTACAGCCGTAGACGCTCGGCGAGTCGGAGGCGGATTAGGTGGAGATGTAGTTATATCCTGCGTAATAACGTCGCGCCGAAAAGATGGCTTTATGGCAATTCGCTTTAGTATGGCCTGAAACTTCCGTAGCTCTCGTTGGTTCTTTCGCCGTAAACGCATGACTTCCGTCCAGCACTTCGGCTGTTTGGCGTCGCCCTGCTCCAATCTGCGAGTGAAGGGCTGCTAATTCACGGCGACTACCATCTCCGAGTACAGCGCTACCACGGCATGAACCTCGTGAGCTCTCGCTTGTACTGGCTTGTCATAGTGCTGGGGCTTGTGGCGTTCTTTTCTTTCTTTGCAAACGTCTGGCTTGATCTCACTTGGATTTTGATATCTGGTTCTACACTAAGTACGTTTGCAACCTGACTTGCTTTTTGTATCAGATTGAGTTGCAAAACTGACCTGAACCTGCCACCGTGTGAACAACCCAAGTTGCGATCGCCACCCCACCGTTTCGCGCTGTACAAGGCACAATTGTGGTCTATACGCTACGTGCAGCCAATCAGAGATCAGGATTTTCAAAAATACAACCTTGGTTGCAGATGGCCGATAACGTATAGATATGGCTAGATTTGTGGTAGCGAAGACGCGCTCACGCCTGGGTTGGTTGAGCCAGTTTGGCTTCAATGTCGAAATTCGCGATAATTTGCGGCTTGCAAACCAAAGGCGAGTTAGTCAATGCGGGATCAGCGTTGGTGCCGCCATCTTACTGTGACTTAGTGTTCCCACTAGAAATAGGTGGCGACGCAGGATCGTGCGTGCTAGAGAATGGGCTCATAAGTCGAGACTTGTGCACACTTAGCGTTTGAAAAATGAGGAAGTGAGACTCAACACACATGAATTTGCTTTGGCTATAATAGAGCGACCGGAACTTGACGTATGAGGTGGGGTGACTGGTCGCCTGTGCTGAAGATGTGAAATGCTGAAGGGATAGCTACCTCCATTTCTCAACCCGAGCGTGCGTTTGTCGTTTAGCTCTGGACCGCACACACCCCTCACAGGCGTGCCTCAAGGTCTGTGCTGAACGAAATGCTAAAGTTCAGTGGCGCAGCGGCCCCCCTCTGTTGCCCAGATGCAATGTCACACCGCACACTAAGCGCACTGGCCACTAGGGCTGGGGACGTACAGCCGAACTACCACTCTGCGACAAGTACGCTCAGGGGGGGGGGTTGTGCTCCCTTTGAACCCTCTAGTAGCCCCATTCGGTGCTTTAAATTAACAAATGTATTCTTTCAAAATTGTGTGTTTCTCACAGACCATCAGCACTGAACGTCTTCGGAAAAGAAGGCGAAGTGATGGCACTGACTAGTGTCACGCTACAATAGACGTCTTCAGCAGCATTAACGCGTACTGAGAGATCATATCGTCCTGATTTGCGTCCTGTGCGGTCGTTGAAGGAAGAAACAGCTCACGGCAGAAGCAGCTCGTGAACACTGAAGACAGATCGACAGGCGCAAGACGTCCAGCAGAACGTTTCAAGCTGTAGTCAGCCCAATCGTGCTGGTAAGCGCTCGCACTGATCTATGATTGCTTGCTTAATGAGTATGTGATGCTTAACCTGTAGTCGAACTGCTTGGCCTTTGACGATACAAAGAGCGCTCAAAATGTCGAGATCAACGGCAATCATCAAGTCGAACGAGTTCAAGGCGTGAAACCCGTCCAAACGCACCATGACAGTGCTTCATCGGTAAGTAGCTGTGTGCTTTAAAACCGATGTCGGAGACTATTGTCAAATGCTAAATCGTTGTAGCAATGGAAATCTAGCTTAATCCGTCGTGCCATACAGTCGGGAGCGAAGGTATACGAGCTCGACCTAGAGCCACACCTACGTACGACGGCTTTAACAAAGCCTCATTTATCTGCTGATGCTGTGGTGTCTATCTGCAAACCAAGATCACGCATTTCCTGCACTACTCCATTTTCTGAATTTGATCAGCTCTTTGACCAAGCGTTGCGCTCACTCAACGACGCCAGATGACGTGCAACGTGCCCCCCGCTTTTGGAGTCACTACTCATTTTACGCCCGATCGACAGTACCTTAAAATCGCACGTTTTCTTTATGCTGCAGTGAGATTGCCAGTAGTGGATACAAGTTTATTGGAAACGTAAAACACAATTTACGTATAGAACTTGCACTACTTATATTAGCAAGCTATTGGAGTCCCTGCCAGTTCTCAGCTACAAACACCAAGTCTCTCATCAAATCCGGCGCCAGTGAGCTTCGTTTGACTGTCAAAATATCTCCAGTAGTTGAAAACGCTCGTTCTGAAGGCACGCTGGTTGTTACACACCCAAGCCATTTTCTTGCTAAACGACATAGGTTAGGATAGCTGCTAGCATTGATATGCCACCACTTGAAAGGGTCGATGGAGGTCTTCACAGCTGAAACAGCCCCCAAGTTGCGCTCACTCAACGACGCCAGATGACGTGCAACGTGCCCCCCGCTTTTGGAGTCACTACTCATTTTACGCCCGATCGACAGTACCTTAAAATCGCACGTTTTCTTTATGCTGCGGTGAGATTGCCAGTAGTGGATACAAGTTTATTGGAAACGTAAGACACAATTTACGTATAGAACTTGCACTACTTATATTAGCAAGCTATTGGAGTCCCTGCCAGATCTCAGCTACAAACACCAAGTCTCTCATCAAATCCGGCGCCAGTGAGCTTCGTTTGACTGTCAAAATATCTCCACTAGTTGAAAACGCCCGTTCTGAAGGCACGCTGGTTGCTACACACCCAAGCCATTTTCTTGCTAAACGACATAGGTTAGGATAGCTGCTAGCATTGATATGCCACCACTTGAAAGGGTCGATGGAGGTCTTCACAGCTGAAACAGCCCCCAAGTACTTCGTGAGCTCTTCTTTGCAGGCTTGCTCGAGATCTGGCGTGATTGTGACATCGTCGTCAGGACCAAACACAAAATCATGCATAAACCTGGCTTTTGCAGGTTGGACTGGTCTTTGAGAAGGCGGATTACCGCGTGTGTCTGGAGACGCCACTCGTGCTAGCACAATCGTAGCTTCAATCAGATCTGCGCCCGCCTTAGCCTTCTCGATGGGAATCTAGGTGAGGCATTCGCTTAGCCAATCGAGGATCGAGAAACGCCAACCAGTTCAATTCACTTCCCTCCCGTTTCTTGAATCTACTCTCAAACAGCGTTAGCATAATGTTTTGGCACTCATTCATCATCAGTTCCAGGGAGCCCGAAAATATAATTTATAACAATTTCAAAGGACATCGAGAAATACATAACGCGCGGCAACCTAAGAACTCAGCAAATAAATAAATGAAGCGGGGGCATTGCAAACGTAGATTATTAGTGAAATAAAGTACCTAGCCTGGGTGAAGCCGCCTAAATGCAAGCATCCACGGTGGTGAAAGAAGAGAGTAGTTTTTGTTGGGGTGTTCCTGGGAAGTTGCAGGATGAGCTAGAATATGCGTTTCGAAGAAGTCGAGGGGCTCCAAACCAACCACAAACTGTTGGTTGTTGTTGTCCGGGAAAATAAATTTTGGGTCGTGGTACACCAACTTCGTAAATACATATTTTGCTGAAGCTTTTTTCGTAAATAAATTATTGAGAGAAACAAAAACAGTAATTGTCAATAAATATATTTATCGGGCTCCCTGATCAGTACCATTTCATGAACGAAACATTCCTCCCCTGCCTCGGCTTCAAGAGCAGCAAACAGGTTTTTGCTCTCAAGGTGCGAGCGAATCCCTGAAATAAGTGGTAGATCTAGCGGCATCGTATGATAGTTCTGACGCCCAAGTGTGTCGGATGCCACCGTGAACGGGCCCAGTAGCCTTTGCAGGCACTTAATAGAAAACCACTCGTTAGGTTTTGGCCGACGCAGCTTGTTCTTCATATCTTAAAATTCTTTGCGGCCATCGCGGCTTTTTTGAAAAGCAAAAAACTTGACAAGAGCTGATTCCAACTCGATGAGACGCTTCAGCATTTTTCAGCAGCTATTCCATCGTGTCGGGCAGTCGACAATCGGGCACACTACGTCGTTGACTTTGACATTAAGCTGCTTCACTTGGATTGCACCTATTCGGTGCTTTCCTTTAGGCGATTTTTGAAAGTAAACAGCCAGCGTTCGGAAGTGCTGTGCAATCGTGCGCACTGAAGTCACTTCAGTTTGCTGCAGTGCTGCAATAGTATCGTCTAAGAACCCATCCAGATCTTCAATAGCAATCTCTCGAAGCGCTTCGATTTTGCTTCGATCTTGGGGAGACAATACTGCTTCATCTTCGTGTTCAACAATGTCCTTATCGCCTTCTGCAGCAACAGTATCCACCCATGCAGGCTCCGATTCGCATTCCTCTTCTTTTTCTTGATCATGACACCAGCAACAACGAAATGAAGACTATGTGCAACGCATGCTTCGTCTTTGAGACCCAGTATTTTAGCCGCTGATACCATGTTGGACCCACCGTCTCTCAGAAAGCGAGCGCAATAGCGTTTATCGAGTGACCATTCTTCCGAAATTCGAGTTATGGCAGCGGCTATTGAGTCTCCGTCGTGAATACCGGGAAGTTCGAGAACCTCGAGCGACCCGTTTTTAGCGGTAAATTCGTCATCGACGTAGTGATTAGTCGAAGCAATGTAGCTTTTCGCATTCCTTCCAGTCCAATATCGCATGTGCTTGTGTAATATCTACACCCACGCGCGATATTTACTTTGACACGCCGGCGGTACTCTTGAGCCAGTATGATGATCTCCAGTCTTAGCTTGCCACGGTTAGAAAGAATCACTTTTACAAAGCCAAGTTCTTCAGTAATAACGCGAACAAATTCAACGAAACCTGCGTCCTCCACAATCATCATCGGCCCAAAGTAACGAGCCGCCCATTCAGCAAGAAGTTCATTGACACGTCGTTTCTGCTCAGTAGTGCTTTCTCGAAGGGGGTGCTTCTTGCCCCTGTCAGCGACTTCAGCAAATGTATTCGCGATATTGCGACTGATAGGGGCACCCTTACCGCGCCGTAACTGCTCAGCCTGGGCCAGATACGCCGCCGACTCAAACGAGTGGTAGGCATCCATATGCTGCGGCAGTTTTGACTTGCCTACTCGAAATCGGATTGTAATTTTGCAGAGAAGGCAGTACGCCAGCTTAGCATGATCGTTATCCAATTTATCTATGTCAATCTCCCAGTACCCCTCACTTCGAATGAGTCGGGCAAAGTTCCAGACCTCTTTGCGTTGCTGACGTCTCATGACAAACAGATCTAGATCAAGTTCCAGTTCAGCTTGTGCACACAGTGCCTTCACGTCGATGACAGCAGTCTCATTCAACAAAAGCTGCGAATCGCGATACGGTTGGTTGCACTACTGGGGACTGTCTTGAATGCGTCAGTTGCTGCCGCTGGATCTGAAGCTACTGTAGTTGAAGCTAGAGTTGCAGTTGTTGCTGTTGTTGCTGAAGCTGGGTTTGCTGAAGTTCGAGCTGCTGGCGAAGATGGAGCTGCTCTGTTTGTCTTGACGCAGGTGTAGGTGGTGGGACCAAGCTGCGTCGAGCATGGGTACGCTCAGGGGTCTGGCAAACCACTTGTTGGTTAGACCCCATATTAAAGACTGACTTTATTACCGAAGTGGGCATGCGTCAGTGGGAGTGCCCACTTGGAGGCAATTTAGACTTAATATTTGTATGGTATATCTAACAAAAGCGAAGGGGTTCAGAGGGAGCATGCGGTATATACGAGGGATTCGAAAGGAACAGAGGCTGAGCCCCCGGGTGCAGCGTAGAGAGGGGGCTAGCGTACGTTCACGAGCGGTACGTCCCCTGCACGACTGGCCACCAGGGTCTGTACGGGACGTTCCGGCATGCAGGGCCCTCGGGGTGGCAGCACAGTCCTTCGGTTGTTTAGGACATCGCGTGTCGATTAGGAATGATAAGCATCTTCAGGGATCTCACCGCCGAGCTTTGAAAAATTAAGTTGAACAGGACTCAGTATGAATGCGTACACGGATGCACCGCGCTTCAGGGCCAAAGCGCTAGCGCCGAGCCGTATTATCGGTATGCTTCTCTACAGTAGTAAAACTGAAAGAAGGCTTTTCCGATGGAATGAAAATGACCAGCTTTCCATTAATAATATCCTTCTGAAATCGATCAGTAAAGTAAAGATGTGGAAACTTGATTGTGTTAGAGACCCAACTCAATTTGTGATTGATCCAAGAAACCTTTTCTAAACATAGCCCAACTCTCTAGTTATTGCCTCTTGTCGAGCAATTCTCAAAGAAAGTGATTTCGCGACTGATTGGTACACTCAGTTTCTTTACTTATGCGGAACCAATTTGTATAAGCGTTGGGGCAAAAACCAAACATTTCAAATTTGTATTAAATCGATATCTACTTTTTGTGTGCGCATAATCTCGAATTAGTCCCGTGAGCGGACGCTAAGAGCATCTCCACCGGTGCGTCGCTATATGTATAGACTCGTTGCCTTCCGATTGGCCGGAATGTTTTTAGCGATAGACACCGAGAGGCATCACTCTCCAATCTGTCGCTATGTGGAGAAATCGTCTTCTGCGAGAAGCTCTTGACGACGAGGAAGAGGCGTACGTCTGCTCGTTACTTTTGACCCCTCGCGCACCGAAAAAAGAGAAAACACGGCGGTTCACAGCCCGGCAAGGCTGCAAATGTCGACAGAGACTTCACTGCGGCTAATGAGATGCTTGTGCGGCGAAGTATCGCCGCACAAGCATCCTGGTACTATCGTACGGTATGACTGCAAGATTAGCGTCCAAAGGTTGTCCGCCTTCTGATCGGCCCCTGTGATTGGGTTCTGCGACGTAGCGCACCACGCCGTGCACAGGGCGGCGTCTTCCTTGTCCGACCATGCTTTTCCTCGAGGCATTGTTCGTTTGCAAGTGATCCAACCTCCTATAGATTTCAGTCGCTATGGCGTCCGAAATAGCGACCGAAACCCCCCGGAAGCTAAAACATTACGCCTGGTGAAACCCCAGTAGTTATCAATTTGAGCTCTTCAGTCGCTATATAGATATAGAGCCCCACCGGTGGAGATGCTCTAAGTAGTTCCAAATCTAGACTCAGAGTATTGTAGTACTACACAATTCCAAAATCAAATTTGCATTTATTTAAATATTGATATTAGCTAATACCGGTAGTACTATTCTACTTCTTTGTGTCCAGGGCTTGAATAAAAAAACCTTTATTATACTGCTGGAAAAAAAACGCTCGATAATCGAGATTATAATGCAATAAAAACTCATTTCGTACAGGAACACAGCTAGTATATGACTTGTTTTAGTATGTCTGGTAAATCAAGATTTGTTTCTCTTTTCAAAAGCTGCAATAGTAATAAATTCAGTACGCCTTTCGGCAATCATCCCTTATTCCGTAAATATAATACTCATTATATTGATATTTTAAAAAAAAATTATGCCCTGTTTGTGTCAATCCCGCCTTGGCGCCTTTTTCTCATATTATACTTTTCTTCTGGTACGTTACATTGGTGTGATCGTTAGCAAATTACTACGACAAGGACGAGCAATCGCGGTGCGGGAGTAAAAAGCGGGTGGCCGTTGAACAATGTGCCGATGAAGTCGGGCGGGGGGGGGGCTTGGTCGTCGAGTTTCGCTGAGTTTTCTTGCGTGTAGCAGGGGTTGCACAGGACGACCCCTTGCTGGTGGTGCTTGTGGCAGTGCGTGGAGCACGTGTAAGTGATGTGCAACGGGATATGCTGCCTGGTAGGCGAGGGTTCTTTTTTGAAAGTGATAGAACAGTCTGTGAGGGACCTGCGCTTTTGGCGCGAAAAGCGGGGGCTCTCGTTGGGTGCAGATCGCGTACGCGCGTAATGTTGTAGCAACTACATTTACAAAAATTATGTGTCCTACGTTGTTGTCAAAAAGTGTAGAGGAGGCACACCTTAGGGAGTGATGTCGGGGAAAAGCGTCTTTGCAACCGCGCAACGATGGATGGAAAACTCGCAACACGCACTGGTAGCTCGCGTCAAGCTCGCTTCTTGATCCGTATGCTCGTCGCGTTTCCCTTCAAAGTGTGACCGCCCTACGAATGGCAGCGGCTGTCATCTTCTGCAAAATATCTACCCTTTTCCTGGATCTGCGGCAATAAATAGCGTAGGGCAAATATTTATTAGTAAAAATGAATAATTGCAGCTTGAACATTACAAAAAAAATATTTGTGCATTAGTCTTACATGCTCACCACTTTCTCATAGTCGAGAGTCCTAATGCGGAGAATGATTCCTTATTACAATTAGTGTAAACTCCAAACAGAAGGCCAGATTTACCCTCACGTTCACTTTTTTTTTTCTTCCTTTATTCATCCGCCGACGGTAGTAACGTCCCAATACTTAAGATCATCCTCGAGAAACATGATCATCTAGAGCGTCGCAGGCGAGCAAAATAATCATGTGCTACACACAAACCCATAAAAACATTTTGTGTATTTGCCGCACCTAAATTAACCCCTTGGTTACCAACGTCATAACTTACGACGTAGTGAAAACCTTAAGTCGTAAGTTACGACTTAACTGTCAAGATAAACAGGAAATGGCTCAGATGCGACGATCCCATACTTTAATCAAGTCTGTTTCTCTGCAAAAAAAATATAAGCTTGGAAAGGTAGTGGGCGACAGGGGAGAAAAAGGCTGTAGGTGGATTCACTGTCCCACTATCTCGGGACCGTACGTTTGGTGGACGGTGGATGTCCTCCACCAGTACAGAATTTGCGGACTCAAGCAAAGATGCCGGTCAGAACAAGCAAGCGGACAAAAGCTCAAGCAGAGGCGCTCTCAGCAATCGACGTGCGAGATGTGGATTTTGGTCATCTATGGCGTCAGCTCGTGCGTGTCGGATGGACGTCAAAGAGGCCAACGCGGCTGTCCAATTTGCACTCGTACTACCCACCGAACGCTGCAAAGGAGCTCCACATCGAGGGCGTGAACATGTTTGTCGGTAAGTCTGATGTGGTTAGTCTATTGTGAGTGTGTCTAATACGTATTCTGTGCTGTGTATGCGAAGGAGAACATGCGGTAGTAAAGTATGCGTTTGAACAGGGCATCATTGGCGCTGACGAGGGAGGTGCAGGCGACGACAGAGACGACGAGAGTGAAGAAGGTGAGCCAGAAGTTCCTGCAGAGTGTGAGAGGGTAACACCGTCTCAGATTGACACGAGTGTTGCTCTCTCAGCGAACACCGTTGAAGCATTATTTGGATCCGAGAGCGAGGACAGCGAGACACCTGCAGAACTCCCGCTATGCGCCACAAGTCCGCACATAGAGGATGAGAGCTCAAGGGCGTCACAGATAGACACAAGTATTGCGCTTTCAGCAAACACCATAGACGAGATATTTTGTGGAGCTATGAGCGGTGATGAACCTGATGTAGCGCTGTCACTATGCGCCGGTCAAAATGGTGCTGTTGTCGAGCCTGTGACGCCAACAAACTCGAGACGAAACGATGAGCGAACAAACTCGAGAGAAGATCGTGGCTTGCTACAAGAGAACGTGAACATCATGAAGGACGAGGACAATGCAGACGAGTATGAGAGCATGGACTCGGAGTCGGATGGCTTTGGATCAGATGATGATAGTGATATTGTTCAAAGGCAAATTGGTGACGACGTGTCATCTGACGAAGAAGAGGCGCCTCCTATGGATGCAGCATTTATTGATTGCTTGGGGGGTTCTCTATATATCGAAGACATGAACCCGATTACACTACGTTCGATGGCGTGGACTCCTGCATCCTCCGAGTATGAAACCGACAATAGCGCGTTCAAAGGTATGAAGGATCAAGCGGCTAGGCCTGTGGAAGCACTTCGTGCTAAAAAGGATTCTCCATTGGAATTGCTATTCTATTTTATGCCGGTGAACCTGTGGACATTCATCACGAGCGAGACAAACAGATACAAAAGGTCATACCTCGAGGAAAAGGCGCGCCAAGAGCGTGCACGTCTCGTTCGTGAAGGACGCAGCGTACCAGGACAAACGCTACGGGATGTTCGCCGCCGCATACGAGTCGAACCTGATTACGTACCGCGCGAGATTCTTTGTGTCATGGGTCTACTTGTAGCTCATATGCTCAGCCCTACCCGTCCGTTTTCAGATCACTGGGCTATGACCGATGATGGCGCGCTTTCGGCGGGACGGTTTGGCAATTTCATTTCTCGAAATCGCTGTACTTCTATACTACGAGATCTACATTTCTGCAACAATGACACAGCTGACAAGAGAGACAAGTTGTGGAAACTGCGAGCTGTTGTTGACGTACTTCAAATGACATTCCTAGCTGCGTGGATAGTGGCTGCAATCATCTCTTTCGACGAAGGTGTACTTCCTCAAACGTCCAAGCGTAACAGTACCCGTATGTTTATGCCGGACAAGCCGCACCGTTATGGCACCAAGATGTTCATGACGTGCGACGCAGTGTCTGCTTACTGCCACAGGTGCGCATTTTTTTTATAAGTGTTGCAAAGTCGTAAGTTATGACTTGATGGTCTGACATTTGCATTATGTTGTCACTTACGACTTTAGATTCGAGATATATGTAGGGAAGCGTCAAAACCATGAAAGTGCAAGTCAGGCGTTTGACCACAAGACAGGAGCAGCCGCTGTAATTCGAAATTTGAAGGCTGTGTTGGATGAGAACGACCCCGGATTTCGTGTCATTGTTGTCGACAGATTCTACACCTCCGTTGCTCTCGCCATTCAACTACTTTCGATGTCGGTCTACATGATTGGAACAATCATGACGTCAAGGCTGGGATTCGACAAGCACGTCGTTGAGCGAAGGAAAACACGACCAACCACAGTAGAGCGCGGGTCATTCACGTACTCAAG